TTTTTTAAATGTTACTCACATTAATCTTTATTTACTTTTATAACTTTTTTACACTTCTTTTTAAAGAATGAGATGGTGGTAGTGAGGGCTTGGTGGCAATCACAGCTGTTGCTTTGGCATACTCTGCTGTTGCTGTAGAATTTTTCAATGAGGGTTATCTGGTGGTCCTGAAAGGGATGACAAAACAAAACCTGCAGTGAATGGGGTGAGATCACAACTCTGAGCAGCCTGTAAGATTTGGTTATTACAACATTTATCCCAATAAATCTTCCCTAGGCTAAAGCTGATGATCATTAGGACAGGATAATGCCTTCTTGGTATTGGTCTCTGGCTTTAGAATTCTTCCCAGAAAGGATTACTTGGTGTTGAGTTTATTGTCCGCTTTGATTCCAGTTTGAAACTTTTTTTAAAACCCCAGACCTATTATTTTTCAGTTGGATATTATATCATTCAGGGGTGAAATTCAACAGGTTCTGACAGGTTCTGGAGAACAGTAGCGGAAATTTTCAGCAGTTTGGAGAACCGACAAATACCACCTTTGGCTGGCCCCAGAGTGGGGTGGGAATGGAGATTTTGCAATATCCTTCCCCTGCCACGCCCACAGAACTGGTAGGGGAAAAAATTGAATTTCACCCCTGATGTCATTGGATTCCTGCTATTTTTAAAAAGTGGTTTCACATTTTAAAAGGCTTTGTTTTATATTTGAAACAGAACCTCCTCTCTTGTTGTAGAACTGAATATTAAAAGTCTACATGACTTAGGATCTGGATGTCTATGGGATGTCCGTCTCCTTCTGGCTTCCACTCATCCAATAAGATATAGATGAGTGGGTGGGTCAGAGTCCCTTTATGGGTGGGGGAGAGGTTGTCATCCACAGCATCATGGAGTCAAGCCTTCTCTGTCGCAGCCCCTTTGTTTGCAACAGCACAACTTCTGAGATCAGACTTACTACAGTTCCCAATGTGTGATGGTTTTAAACCTTGGGAATAAAACTGCTACGAATAACAAACCCCTATGGCTTTTTGTTCAGTCTTTTTTTTTTTTTTAATTTGATTTATATGCCGCCCTTCTCCGGAGACTCAGGGCGGCTTACAATGCGTTAAGCATTGACTGTTCCTTGGAAACCAAGGAACCAACTTGCTTTGGAATTTCCATTGTAATTGTTCATTTTTATGCAGTTACACCTTGTTTGTTTGTTTGTTTGTTTGTTTGTTTGTTTATTTATTTATTTAAGCTAATTTTTATACCGCCCTTCTCCCGAAGGACTCAGGGCGGTGCACAGCCAAGAAATAAAACAAACACATATATAAAATTAAAAGCAATTTAAAAAAAAACATATTAAATAATTTGGCCCCGATATCATTAAAAAACTAAAACAACCCATTCAAATTAATGTTTAGGCCAGCCCAGCTTGTTGGAACAATAACGTCTTGAGGGCACGGCGAAAGGTGCGTAGGTCAGGGATCATCCGTATCTCTGGGGGCAATTCATTCCAGAAGGCGGGTGCCCCCACAGAGAAGGCTCTCCCCCTGGGGGTTGCCAGTCGACATTGTTTGACCGATGGCACCCTGAGGAGTCCCTCTCTGTGGGAGCGTTTTGGCAGGTGGGAGGCTATCGGTGGCAGAAGGCGATCTCATAAATACCCAGGTCCTAAGCCATGGAGCGCTCTAAAGATGATAACCAACACCTTGAATCGCACCCAGAAGACCACCGGAAGCCAGTGCAGCTCGTGCAGGAGAGGTGTTACATGGAAGCACCGTGTCGCTCCCATAATCACCCGCGCGGCCGCATTTCCCTTTCTCACGTTCTTACCATAAGAAGGGAATACAGTATAAGTGCTCAGTGTCTTTTTGGATTGGAGTTATGTATAAGCCCTTGTAAGTAAGCATGTAAATAAATAAGGCAAGTGAGGACAATGAAAATATTTGACTAATTTTTTTTTTCCTCCTTGCAAAAATATAAAGCAATTACTGCAAATGGAAAGGGAGATGCCGAAAACAGAGGAGAGATTTTCTATCCACAGGGCAAAACTATACGGTTAAATGAACAATAAGTACTGTCTAATTTTATGAGTTGTCCTGTTTATAATGAATGATTATAATGAATAAATGAAGAGGGATTCAGCCATTCATGATAACAAAGCCCTGTGAATCCTGCAATATATTGCATGTTGATCATCACCTCTCAAAAGTCATATTCACAGAATATATAAAGGAGCCATGACTTTATATACTCAAGAATATCATATGCGCTGGGAGACTTAAGTGAATAGTTTTCCAGCACATCTTCATTATATGATTCATACAATAAAATTAGACATGTGCAATTCCCTCCCACTCCTTTAAATGATCTCACTCATCTGTGAACATCCCTATTCCCAGAGAGAACTTTCTTCCTTTATGGAATGAGGCTCACTGTGTGGTCTACCGAACTTTGGGTGCCTTCCAGGATAAAACATAGATACTCCCTGATAATTCTTATTTCCAGCTGCATCCAGTTCACATTGCAACCTTGAAACTGGCTTTTGGATAAAACTTTTCAGGGACACTCAAATATTAAACAATTAATGCTAGGCAAAACAAAGGTTTGTTTTCTTAAGAACTGTGTTATATTTCTTTCTAAACCAGTGTTCTTGATGGCCATGAGCTGTGTTGCCCTTATCTACACCAGTGGTGAAATCTGAACTGGTTTACTACCAGTTTGCTGGCTGAGCATGCGCACTGCGCACCAAACGCACAGTGCACGCGCATGGGCAGGGCGCACCATACACCAAATGCAAGGTGCACACGCACACACACACATGTCCGCGCAGTGCATGCCAAAAGGAGGCATGGGGTAAGTAGAACAGCGTGTGGGGAGGGGTGTGTCATCAGCTGTGGCGTGCAATCTTCGGAGCCTTTTTTTTTTACCTTTTAAAAGCATTTTTTTACAACCTGTTAGGTTGTAAAAAATGTTTTAAAAGGTAAAAAAAGAGGCTCTGCCGATCGCGTGGCACAGCTGTGATCATCAGAGCTTTTTTTTTTTCTTTTTCTTTTTTAAAGCATTTTTACTACTGGTTCTGGAGAACCTGTAGTAAAAAATGCCTAAAAAGTAAAAAAAAAAAAAAAAAGTTCCAACGATCAGCTGAGCGACACGCAATCTTCGGAACTTTTTAAAAAACTATTTAAAGCATTTTTAACTTTAACAAAATGCTAAAAAAGTAAAAAAAAAAAGTTCCAACGATCGCGCGTCTCTCACCTGATCGTCGGAACTTTTTTTCTTTACATTTTTTACTACTGGTTCGGCGAATCAGTAGCCTTTTTTACTACTGGTTTGGGCGAACCAGATCGAACTGGGAGCATTTCACCCCTGATCTAGACCAAATTTACTCATCAGTTGCCTCACATGGATCCCAAACTTATCTCTTAGAGGCCAAATTATTACCTGATTGAAACTTGTCACAACATCACCAGATTCTTCATACACTGTCCAATATTGTTTCTTTAACAGGGCTGGTGAAGTACTTGTCAATGATTTCCTGAGGCCAAGCCAGGGTGTAGGGCTGTTTGTAGTTTATTTTGCACACCCATTAAGAACAAAACTTTGGCACATGGCACACTTACGAGTTTGCTGCGGCTCCCCAGAGCGCCACGTGCATAGTTGGGGAACTATGTATATATAGTATTAGGAAAATTGTACAAGAACATTGGATTTGGAACTCGTGTATAGACAAAAAATACAATTGAAAATGATTCATAAACTCTGAGGTTGCTACCACAAGTGTAGTGACAGCTGCCAGCTGGGAGAGCTGCCCACATTCACGGCTATTAGTGGTTATTCATCATGTCAGAGTAGAACCAGAGAAATTCAGACTTGATTTCCCTGGTTCTACATACACAGCTATGCAAGGGTGAAATCCAGCAGGTTCTGACAGGTTCTGGAGAACCGGTAACGGAAATTTTGAGTAGTTCAGAGAACCGGCAAATACCACCTCTGGCTGGCCCCAGAGTGGGGAGGGAATGGAGATTTTGCAATATCCTTCCCCCAGGAGTGGGGAGGGAATGGGGATTTCGCAGTATCCTTCCCCTGGAGTGGGGTGGGAATGGAGATTTTGCAGTATCCTTCCCCTGCCACACCCACCAAGCCACGCCCACCAAGCCACACCACATCCACCAAGCCACGCCCACAGAACCGGTAGTAAAAAAAATTGGATTTCACTACTTCAGCTATGGAAATATACTGAGTAATACTGGGTTAGCCATTCTTTCCCATACCAACTTTGTATGGCCAGGGTGGAGATAACGTCGGAAGAGAGAGTATTGTCCTGCTCCACCTGACAATTTTTAAAATTCCCAATGGCCACATTTATCCCATCTACTTTGAGATGCTGAGAAACATCAGACAGACATCAAGCAACAATTGTTCTGTCCTCAATTCCTAGACAACAATAACCTGGTAAGCTACTATAAGAAGAGGGAATTAAATTAAATTGCTGGCATGTTTTATTTTATTTAAAAGATTTGTCTGTCTTAGAGCATAATCTGGGCACCTCACAACAATACATCAACAAACCCTGCTTAGCCATCAATCCTCATTTTCCATACTGCTCTACAAGTAGTCCTGGAGTTACGACCATAATGGAGTCTGGCCATTATGGTTGTAGGTCGTAATGATTGTAAAATTTTATGTTTTTTGTGGTTGTTGTTAAGTGAGTATGTGTTCTGCCCCAGCTCCGGATTCCCGAGGACATAGACATAAACCAACGGTCCTTATCAAATTTATTAAGTAGCAAGAATAAACCAACATCTAGCAAAGGTTGGCAACTAGCCCAGAAAGCAAGATAAGACTTTTCCAAAACTGCTCTGATGATAATTACAAGTTGTTTCTAGCAAGAACGGCGTGTGACTTAAATAGGCTAAGGGAGTGGCCAATTATCCTCAAGCCTTACTCACGAGAAGACCTCCTCCTCCTGAGTAGCCACTCCTGCCTTTGGCAGCCCTGCGTGCTTGAGCATTGAGGAGAGGCTCCTCCACTTCGCTATCTCCACTTGAAGGAGCCTCTGGAGGTTCTGAAGGCCCTGGCTGAGTCTCTGCCTCTGGCACTACATCCTCTTCAGCCTCCTCGCTGTCTGATGCGAGCGCCGGCTGCACAGGCTGTTAGCGCGACACCACACCAGCCTCCTCGTCGT